GAAAGAGAAAAAAAATTCCTTGAAATTTTTCACGATATATCATGTATAATGTTTCAAAAAGATCGAATGTCTTGATAGATTGTTGGCGAATTTTTAGAATCAATTTTTTTTTTAACAAAAATGTCCAGGCGAGGGTCATCGTTTATTGCAATTTTTTGAAGATTGTTATTTATTTATCAATTTTTTTAATGATTTATATATATATGTATATATATATATGTATATATATCTAAATGTATATATATTCATCTAAATTTTAGATAGACTTTATATAATATATATATAAAGTCTATCTGAAATTTAGATGAAAAATTTTGTTAGCTATTTAAAAATTTCGTGAATAGTAAATAAGAGTTAAATTTTGTAAATGTAATCTCATTTGAAGAAATAATCAAATAACTTCTCAATTTAGTATTTAGCAATACAAATATGTGTAAAAGAAAAAGTGACACATACAAGGAGAAATACGTCTCTGCGGGAATTACAATGACACGTCGATCGAAAAAAAAAAAAACTTGGACCACCTAATGCCGCGATCGCAATGAGATAAATAATCGCGATGGGTGGGCGCTGGCTGGCGCCTTCCCGTGACACGGCTTACGGGTCGCGCGCGTTATGGGTCCCCCCCCATAGGGTGCCATGCTGTTGCGTACATACCTCATAAGGTGGTACAGAGCTCCAGCCGCGTGTGAGAATCCATTCCGCGCGATTTCACAGGATTCGCGGGGGGCCCTTCTCTCCCGAAATTCTCCTTTCTTTTTCTCATTCTACCCTCTTTCCTCCTTTGCTTCCCGCTTCTTCCTGTTTGACGTTTCTTCCAGAACCCTGTCGCGTAAACTCAGACCACCCCGTGATGGGCCGGTGTTGTCAAAGCTAAAAATTATCCCGCACGAAACACATATATCTTTTTATACATTCAATTATTTAAATTATAGAAAAAATAATAGCTATTATAATAATTATATTGTACAAAATAAATTATTATTAATATGATAATTATAATTATTTGATTACCGATCCGTCCGTAATAACACAGAGCTTTGCTTATACGCATTCTTATTTTTAATTTAATTTAATTTAATGCATTCGATTTCTGTCAATACTATTTCGTATACGTCTAATTTCCCTAACTATATTTCGAATATCGCGAGCAATTTTCTACGGATAGAGCAAGGACTCATTTTCTACGGTGCTAATCGACCGATAACGGAACTCTTTCATGGTTGACTACCTCGCTGAAAGTTTCCTGACCAAAACTTTTGTAAGATTAGCGGATAATGAGTTGCCTTGCGTTCGAAATCACCATGAATTCGACAGAGATTTCAATTATTCGCAACGCTGGGTGCGAAGAAATGACCGAAATAAAAAAAAACGATTTTAATTCCAATTTAGAGATTTCAAATGAACCTATTATTACATTTGATTTATGATATACATATATATATATTTAATAATATTATAATATACCTATCTGTTTTACCCCCCTCTCCCCTATAACATAATTAAAATTGACTCTCATTTAATAAAGTCAAGTAAAAAAACTTCACGGCATATTCGATCTTTACTGCGGTACCATCATTTTCTCATTTTTTCCCTTTTTGATTATATAATACAGTTTTTGAAAGGACAGGAAAACTCGTTCCTCTTCAAGTTTCTTTCGCCTGCTGAAATCTTATCGTAAAGGAACATAGACGCGAGGGTTACGAGAGAAAGTGGAGAGTCTACGATCTCGTGATCGCGAGATCATGAACGAGATGCCGACGATGTGATTCCCCGGCGAGACCGAATCGCGCGCGCGGCGACCGCTCTCGCTCGTAAAGCATCCTTTCTTCGGGGTCCCGCGCGCGTGGAGGTGGAGGAGGATTAGGTGGTGGAGCTGGTTGAAGGTTAAATAGGTGCCAGGTGGTGGTTCTCGGAAGGTGGTGCTCGTTAGTGTGTGATCCCGCCTACCGTCCAATACGGTGGCTGGTTTCCCAGGGGACTCCCTTTGGCCTCTCTCTCTCTCTCTCTTGGTGGCGGTTTTTCGCTGGTCCCCTCTCCCATCGTCTTCTTCCTGCCGTCGTTTCACCACGTTAGAGAAGGACTTCAACCGCACGTGTATGGGCGCGCGTGTATGTATGTGTGTGTCGCTTTGCATCGCGCGCGATAATAGTCGACGGATGAGATCCTCTTGACGCGCGCTCGCCTCTCGACGCGGGATCGCCTGAGATACCGCGTCGACTGACGAGGCCCGCAGTTCTCGGAGCATCGCGATCGACGGTGGATCGATTGACGACCCGTGCGCGATCCAGTGAAGTTCAATAACGGATAGCAGAGTTACCGAGGTGCACCAAGTGCCAACGGTTTGCCGAAGATCACACGGAACGTGAAAGGGACATGAGTTTTAATTTATTTAATCTATCGCATAATTGAAAAAGGAACTTGCTAGTTGTCAGGAGAGTCATCGTTGTATTGGAAAATTGTAGTATTGAAGAACAGAGCTCTCGTTTGTCTCGGGATTTGATGTACACTGTGTGTGGTGAGAGGATAAATTATTTTAAATATACATTAAATAAGGACATTGTAAGGACGAATGGACAGTGTTTTAAATCAAGATCGTAAGAAGCTGGTCGTTAATTAATATACGAATTTATCTAAATCCGTAGTGTCACTTTGATAGACGACGCTGTCATCGGCACGATCTCGGATCGACATCTCGTTATAATCAGCTTCGTGTCAGCGGGCTTATCGATCTCAACTATATATTCAGCCGATTTCCAGATCGCGCCACACATATAAAGGCACACAACTTGAACTTATTTACTTCTATACTTAACAACATCGCCTACAGTCGAGATATCGATATTTATATTGACACTTTCGTGATGACAGTTTAGTTTGATACTCGCATCAAACACGTAAAGTGGACTGTTTGGTGACGAATCGAAGAGCGATCAAACGTAAAAGCCGATCGATAGTGAATACCATCGGGCATACCAGCAAGCTTCCAGGCTGCTCGAAGGACTTTAAAACAAGATGCTCTTCAAAGGTAACAGCTCGCGGCTGGAGCTGCTGATTGGCAAGATCCACGCACACAAAGAACCGTCACAGGACGAGCAACACAAGTCTAAAGGTCTGAATGCAACTACTTTCTTCATCTCCTTTTTCCTCTCGTTGACTCTCTCTCTCTCTCTCTCTCTTTTCTGTCTTTCGTTTGTGTCTGATTTTTCATTTACCTCGAGCCCTTTACTTTTCCACGAAGTTTAGCTCCATCGTCTTCTCATTTCGTTCCACGACTTTTTGTTCGTCTCCTTCTCGTCGCGTTTGAGTTTTACTGGATTTACGCGAAGAATTTTCTACCTGACGAATTTGCAGATTTTCACAGAATCTAATTTATTGAAAGGACAAAAAATGTAATTAAAATTAACAAATGTTGACATTGATATGTTAGTGAGAGAGCCTTTATATTGTGTTGGTATATATATATAATAAATGTATTGTGTATATATATA